CTGAGTAGATTTTTGATATTAGCCCCCTGTGGCTAGCTTTTACAACTCTTAAAATATATATATATTTTATTGATTTTTTTACAGAGAGAGGAAGAGAAAGGGATAGAGAGTTAGAAACATTGATGAGAGAGGAACATCAATCAGTGCCTCCTGCACACCCCCTATGGGGGATGTGCCCTCAACCAATGTACATGCTCTTGACCGGAATAGAAACTGGGACCTTTCAGTTTGCAGGTCAGCGCTCTGTCCACTGAGCCAAACCAGTCAGGGCTTTTACAACTCTTTTAGCTATAAACTAACAAATGTCTAATTATTGCAGTGGCACTGTGTCTGATCTGTGACAGAATAGATTTGTATCATGACCAATCCTCTTTGTTAGGGATAAGTACTCTTTTTAAAAAGATATATATTTTTTATTGATTTCAAAGAGGAAGAGAGAGGGAGAGAGCTATAGAAACATCAGTGATGAAAGAGAATCATTGATTGGCTGCCTCCTGCATGTCCCCCACTGGATTGAGCCGGCAACCCAGACAGGCATGCAGATCCAAAAGGCATGGTTCAGGTTCTTCTCCAAGGCCAGGGTGGCTTCCATGGTATCCTTAGTTTTGCCCCACTCAGCTGTCTGGTATGAGCGGCACTCCCATAGTGGGCTGATCCCCACAGGCCACACCTTCCACCAGTACTCAAATCTCGTGCACCAGCCCTCTAGTTCTTTAATAAAAGTGTAAACTAGGAATGTAAAAGAAGTGATTTAAAAAATTTTTTATTTTAATTAATCAATTTATTTTTAAAATTTATTTTTTTTATTGTTGATAGTATTATAGATAGCTACCATTTCTTTCTTCCCTTATCCCCATTCTTCCAGCCTATACCCATCACCCAAGTGATTGGTTCTAACTGGGAATATTCAGAAAAATATCATCGAATGGGTAACCAAACCAAAATTTCACCGAATCAAGTATTTTAGTCTCTCTTTATTATGTCTTTTAAGAACAAAATGTATTGATCTGAGGTTCTGTTCTTTTATTTTTTTCCTGATAAACTTGAGCAGTAAAATGGTCTAAAGTCAGGCAGTGTAAGTCATGTCTCAAGATCAGAGGGGATGAATAGAATTTATAGGAGAACCCAAGATGGCGGCGTAAGTTAACACACCTAAACTGTGGCCGTGCACAACAATTTCAAAACTACAACTAAAAGACAAAATGTCTATCACCCAGAGCCATGGGAGGGCTGGCTGAGTGGAAGTTCTACAATCAGACGGAAAGAGAGGAGAGCATTCAGTGCACAAATGCTGAAAAACTGAGATATTGGGCAAGCAATACGGGCTGGCTGCAGATCCTGGCTGGCAGCGGGTATTGCTTTCTTCAACCCAAAGGGGAGACTCGTGAGACCCAAACTCCAGGAGAGAAGCTGGACTGTCTGCCATTGGGTCAGAAAGTGAGGGTCACTGGCTTGCAGAGCTGCGAAGAGGAATAACTGTTTGCTGCACTGGGGCGCAACACTTGGGGAAGTGGTCGGAGGCGCAGACAGCTCACTGCCAGCCATTGTTGTTTGCCACTCCCTAGCCTAGTGCCACCCTGAGACTCCGCCTATAAACACACCCAAGCTTCAAACAGTGGCTTTTGTATATGAATGGCCTTCACTACTGATGCTAACTTGCAAACAGGTTCAGACAGCTCCATAATCTACAAATCCCAAGCAGGGAGGAGAGAACTGTATAGTTCTTGCTGTAGCTCCTGCAGGGTGACATCAGACAGTAGCTAACCTGCACCCCATTGGAGATCCAGAAGCCAGTGTACCCTGTGCTCAGTGTGAGACACAGATTTCAACACCTCACATCCATAAGTGACACATTCAAGAGGCAGACTCAGTGAGCACCAAAGCTCCACTGAAACAAGTCCTGCACCATGAGTATGTCTCCAGCGCAGCACTTCTTCCATTATAAACATAGCGGGTCCCCATGGCAAATTGGCCTGGAGGTCAATTCCTCCTAGTGTACCAACAGCAATCAAGGCTTAACTTCACCAAGACTTTGCACTCAGCCCACAAAGGAGTGTACCAAGATTGTCCACCTCAGGTGATTGGGAAGGCTGAGCTACTGGCCCCTGTGGTCACCTACCACACAAAGCCGCTCCATCAACACAGGAAAGCAGCCAAAATGCTTGTTGCGAAAGGGGGCAATGGAGGAAATAAACTACAGGATGACATGGAGTTCAGGACCACATTTATAAGGTCACTCAAGAATCTTCTAAAAGCTGCTAAGAAACAAAAAGAAAGAAGAATCCAAAAATATGAAGACAATGTAAGGAGCCTCTGGGACAACTTTTAACGTACCAACATCTGAATTTTTGGGGTGTCAGAAGAGAGAGAGAAAAATATTGAAAACCTATTAGGAGAAATAATGACAGAAAACTTTCCCCAGCTGGTGAAAGAAATAGACTTACAAATTTAGGAAGCACACAGAACCCCAAACAAGAGGAATTTAAAGAGGACCACATCAAGACACATCATAATTAAAATGCCAAGAGCAAAAGACAAAGAGAGAATCTTGAAAGCAGCAAGAAAAAAACAGTTAGTTACCTACAAGGGCGTACCCATACAACTGTCAGCTGATTTCTCAACAGAAACTATGCAGGCCAGAAGGGAATGGCAAGAAATATTCAAAGTGATGAACAGCAAAACCTACAACCAAGATTACTCTACCCTCAAAGCTCTCATTTAGAATCGAAGGTCAGACAGAGAGCTTCACAGACAAGGAAAAACTAAAGGAGTTCATCACCACCAAAACCAGGTTTACATGAAATGCTGAAGGATATTCTTTAAGAAGAGGAAGAAGAAAAAAAGGAATCAATGAAAATATAGTTCTAGCCAGTTTGGCTCAGTGGATAGAGCATTGACCTGCAGATTGAAGAGTCCCAGGTTAGATTCCGGTCAGGGGCATGTACCTCAGTTGCTGGGGCCCTAGTCAAGGTGCATACAGGAGGCAACCAATCAATGTGTTTCTGTCACATCAATATTTCTGTCTTTCCCTCTCTCTTCCACTCTTTTTTAAAATCAATGGAAAAACATCCTCGGGTGAGGATTAAAAATAAAATAAAATAAAATCTGGGGTGTTTTAGGTAGGCTTGTATAGAATTCACATATTTTACATGGTATAAATACTACCATGTTTCCCCAAAAATAAAACATCCTCCGAAAATAAGACCTACTTACAGGTTTCCTTCTGAGTGAAATATAAGGCATCCCCTGAAAATAAGGTCCCCCTCCCCCCCGACTCCATTCCCTTCACTGCTTACGAAAGTGCACGTGTTTCCTGTATTTTGGCAGTTCATCTGGATGGCACTAAAATCCCACCTTTAATCATTTCTAAGGGCAAGAAGAAAAAGATTGAACGTGTTTTGGGCATTTTTATTCTTGAAACTGAAAAAGCCTGGGCCACACAAGCAGTTATAAGGAAGTGGGTCGATTTAATGCTGCCACTTGTTATGCGAGGGAGCCAAAGAAGTCTGCTAGTCTGGGATGCAGCCAGCACTCAACACGCTAAAGACATGAAGACATTTCTTCACGAAAGAAAAAAAACATTGATAATGATTCCCACAGGAATTGGCCTATCTCCAGACTCTTGATATTGCAATAAACAAGCCATTCAATGATAATTTGCGCATGGAAATTAATGACTACATTGAAAATAGAATGGAGAAAAACCAGCGTGGAAACTTTGTGAAACAAACTGCAAGAAGTTATGATTTGGGTGAAGAATGCATGGGAGAAAATCACTGACAGTTGCATTACAAATGCACTGCGAGCAGGCTACCTTTACAAGAAGTACTCATTAAAGACAGTGCTATTGCTAAATATGAGAGATTTGGTCCACTGATTCTGAAAGAAATGGAGTCACAAGAAATTCACCAGGAAATTCAGGAATTAGATTGTTATGATGATGTTCCAGAAGATGATGACACGATTGTCATTGAATAAATGAGTAAATTCTTGATACTGTAGGATTCATAGTTTGTCTTGTTTGTTTTGACAACTACCGTACTACCGCACCATATACAGGTAATAAATTTCCTTTATTTTCATTTAACAATAAATGTGTACCGATTTCTTCTTCATGGAAAAATAAGACATCCCCTGAAAATAAGACCTAGCGCATCTTTGGGAGCAAAAATTAATATAAGACACTGTCTTATTTTCGGGGAAACAGGGTAGATAGTAAGTTACTAATAGAATAGTAGGTATGATGTGGAGAAAAAGGAACCCTTGTGCACTGCTGGTGGGAATGAAGACTGGTGCAGCCACTGTGAAGAACAGTATGGAGTTCCCTCAAAAAACTAAAAATGGAACTACTATTTGACCAGTAATCCTACTTCTAGAAATATATCCCAAGAAACTAGAAACACCAATCAGAAAGAATACATGCACCCTCTATGTTCATAGCAGCACAATTCACCATAGCTAAGATTTGGAAACAGCCTAAGTCCCCATCAGCAGATGAATGGATTAAAAACAGTGGTACATCTACACAATGGAATACTACATTGAGGTAAAAAAGAAGGAATTCTTACCATTTACAACAGTATGGATGGAACTAGAGAGCATTATGCTAAGTGAAATAAGTCAGTCAGAGAAAGAGAAATATCACATGATCTCACTCATTTGTAGAATATAATGAGCAACATATACTGTTGAACAAAAAACAGATCCAGAGACAGAGAAGCATCCATCAGACTGTCAAACCTCAGAGGGAGGATAGGGAAGGGTGGGAGTAAGGGGGAGAGATCAACCAAAGGACTTGTATGCATGCATATAACCCTAACCAATGGACAGACACCAGGGTGGTGAGGGCCTGAGTGGAGGGGTGGGGGGAAGAGTAGGGGAATAAGGACACGTATGTAATACATTAATCAATAAATTAAAAAATAATTGAAAATAATGGAATAAATCGAAGGAAATCAGAGTGGGGCAGTTATGATGGGTTGCTTTGATTTTTTACCTAGATATTCTACATTTCTTCATTTCTTTACACCGTCAATTACATTTGGTATCTTTACAAAGAACTAAGGATGAAACACAGCCATAGTGGACAGAGCACATTTTCCATGGTAAGTTTTATTCAGAGTTAATAGTTAAGAACAGTTTGCTAAAACGAACCCATATATTCTTTTTTTTTTTTTTAAATATATTTTTTATTGATTTTGTACAGAGAGGAAGGGAGAGAGATAGAAAGCTAGAAACATCAATGAGAGAGAGTCATCGATCAGCTGCCTCTTGCACACCCCCCACCGGGGACATGCCCGCAACCAAGGCACATGCCCTTGACCGGAATCGAACCCGGATCCCTTCAGTCCCCAAGCCGACGCTCTATCCATTGAGCCAAACCGGTCTCGGCGCGAACCCATATATTCTTGAGCAATAGTATAAACACTCAGCCCAGACTAGGTGAATTAATTGAGTTTAATAAAAGGAAAACATTCTCATTGAGTTTCCATTCTGTTAACATGATTTTCTCATATTTCATGCCACCAAAAAAAAAAAAAAAAAAAAAAAAAAAAGACTCGATTATGGGAAACATTATGCACAGTACTGCCATTCCTGCCTGGCTTTTTCTTTTTTAAAAATATATTTTATTGATTTTTTACAGAGAGGAAGGGAGAGGGATAGAGAGTTAGAAACATTGATGAGAGAGAAACATCGATTCAGCTGCCTCCTGCCCACTCCCTGCTGGGGCGACTAGGCTGGTAGGGGGGCATTAGGGGAAACCAGGCTGGAAGGGGGGGCAGTTAGAGGCAACTAGGCTATTGGGGGGGCAATTATGGGTGACCAGGTGGGCAGTTGGGGCAGTTAGGCTGGGGGGGGGCAATGAGGGGCAACTAGGCTGGCATAGGGGCAGTTGGGGGTAACCAGGCCAGCAGGAGGAACTGTTGGGAGTAATCAGGCCGGCATGCAGAGGCAGTGAGGGGTGATCAGACCAGTGGCGGGGGGTGGCAGTTAGGGGTGACCAGGGAGGAAGGCAGGTGAGCAATTAGGAGCCCGTGATCCAGGATTGTGAAAGGGATGTCTATCTGCTGGCTTAGGACCGATCCCCAGGATTGGCTAGTCTGAGGGGACCTCCCCCCTTGCACAAATTTTGTGCACCAGGCCTCTAGTTTAGAATATAGTAACAGATAAAATTCTCTTATCTCCAATGCTAAGGAAATATTTTACTGAATTTTATAACAAATATTTCTTAACGGAAGCAACCTGACTCTTGGGAATTTTTCCATCAAGTGACACTTAATTTATTATATTTATTATATATTATATGGTATTTATTATATGGTATTATATATATTATATATTATATGGTATTTATTATAACATGATTGGCAGTATCCGAAGATATTGCTCACATTTATTCTTTTCATAGGTTATAAATAATACTTGTCAAGTTGGTCAGATAGCCATTATTTCATCAAGGTAAGATATTTTGCTTTCTTTCCTAGCAAGGTGTGGACTCTCATTATTCTGGTGTCTAGGTAGGAACAAACAGGAGAACAGTGTCCTTTATATCTATTGAGTCTGTCATGCGTAGGTCCTCTTGAAATCTTAATGAATAGGAAGCAACAAATAGGATAGGCAAACAGTTTGAAATTACAAATTTGGGTTTTAGCCTCAATTCTGCCATCACCTCTATTTGACCATCAGGTATTTCCCTTTAAGTCTTTGGTCTTTTAATTCCTTTCTACATCTCTTAAAGAGTTGTAATAGGGGCTTTCAAGATCTCATCTACCTTTATAACAATCAGTGAGATTCTTAAAATTATTAAGCCCAGAAGGAATCTGGATCTCATTTAAGTGGTCATTACAGAGTTGGTTTTAGATTCTGTAACTTCAACTCCTGGATTTTTTCCTCTGGATAGATAATTGGTTATTTAAAGGTCGATTTTGGAAAAGCTCCCAGGAAAGGGCTTATGAGAATGAAGTTATTTCTGGACACCATGGAAAGTGAAACAGATCGAGCAAGCACAGAGCTCCTTGTAAAATTTTTCCTTTCATTTGACCCACTTGAATTTTATAGGACCACACAACTCTCAGAGACTCTCTATGAGACTCTGTTAGTGTTCATTACCCTAAGTATAAAGTGCATTCTTCACTTCACTTTCCTAGGTTTTGAAAAAGACAGTATACTTAAGGTTTATTAATGATTTTTCTTAGAGAATTTAAATGTATATGTATAAGTGGAGAGTGGTGGGATGATAGAAGAGGGAAAAGAACAGGATAATATTTTGCAAATGGAAGAGGGCATAAAACAGTCTGAATATGAGGATGACAAGTTTTTTTCCTCCCAGTCTGATACCTCTACTATTGATGATACCTGTGTTTTGTCTGGGCAATGCCAATGAATGTTACCACAACTTTAGCCAGAACCACGGGTAAGTAAGGACCAAATCTATCATTTTCACGGTGGTCAACACATATTCTTTTCTATAAATGGGGATAGAAGAGAACTTTCTACATACATTCTGGCTAAGGTGTTGTATTCTAAACGAGCTATGTGAATAGTGAGAATAATATGTAGTCATTATGAAAATACATACTTAGAAATATAACAAAGTGACTAGAAAATGATGTGTCTAAGAGAAAGAACAAAGTGTTAGCAAAATGATAAGTAAAATTTTATACTCATGAACTTTTGTTGCACTAATAGGTATCTCTCTAGTTTTATATCTGTAGCAGTACTCTTGTTCATTGATTCTCTTCCTAGGTGTATCCTGATGTACTCACCACCATCAGCCATGGCTGAACTCCTGCCTTCTGCCAACACATCAGTCTGTAGCACACTTTACTTTTATGGGCTCATCGTTTTCTTAACCAGCTTTCTACTCAGCCTCTTCACCATTGTGGTATGGTGCCACCTTATCTACCTTTATGGAAGGAAAGCGGGGATAGGGAGGGATTGGGTAGTATTCCCAAGGCCTGGAAGAGATGAGGTAGGAATCACTTTTGATAGTCCCAGACTTAACAAAGTGGCTAGAAGATATTGACAACTTAATTATTACCTTAGTCTTTTGAACTTCCCAAAATCAAATGATGAGTGGGAAAAAGAGCCTGTATTCATTCTCTAGGTATTATCCTCTTTCTAGAAGTAATATATGTTCTTGTGGATCCCCAGGGAGGATCAGAGCAGAAAACTACAACGTGTCAAGTCTAGAAGCTCAGGGAACGAAATTCATGCACTCGAGTGGGGGTGGGGGAGAGGGTCCCCCTCAGCCCAGCCTGCATCCTCTTGTAATCTGGAGCCTGACTGAAGGTTTAGGCCCGCTCCTGCCTAAGCCATCAGTCAGACATCCTTAACCCTACCAGACCACCATACTGATTTTTTGGTAATTTCCAAATCTGCCACTATACTGTTGTACCTAATTTTTGGTACCTTGCCTAGACCTATTTTCTACAATGTCTCCAAGTTCCATCATATTCTAACCACTTGTTTGCATGTAACTAACATTTTTCTATATCATGTTGGTTTTTTCTCTTTAATGCTCAGGAGCCCAGGGCCCAGATCTGGTAGGGTTAATGCTGCCGTGAGCCTGACTTCTAGCTGAGCGGTGCTTCCCTTGTGGGAGCTCAGTGACCACCAGGTGGCAGGTCCTTTGTTGAGCATCTGCCCTCTGATGGTCAATGTGCATCATAGTGACTGGTCGTTGCACCATTTGGTCTATTTGCATATTAGCCTTTTATTATATAGGGCTAGGGGCCCAGTGCATGAATTTGTGCAACTTTAAAGGAACTGTGGGCTGTGAGGCTGCTGTGGGCACAGGGGCAAGTCTCAGCCCATCCTCTGCTTCAAGCCCCACCAAGCCCCTCCCACTGTAGCCTCCAGTCCCCTGTCTGCCGGCAGTCATGCTCCCACTGCCACCATTCCCATGCGCTGACGGCATCGGCCCCACTCACACCCACTTACAGTGCAGAGCAACTGGGGCTGTCACCAGCAGCAGGTGCAAGCAGGGCTGGTGCCATCAGTAGGTGTGAGCAGTGGCTGCTGCCCAATCACCCCTCAGGAGCAGGAGGAGGTGGAGAAGCCCTCAGGAGTAATCGGTACCGGCGCCAAGTGCTGACAGTGGTGTGAGATGTGGCTCTGGCAATGATTGTGAGTAGGGCCATGTGAGCAGCAGGTGCAAGAGGCAGCTGCCAGCCCTGATCACCCCTCAGGAGCAGGGGGAGGTGGAGAAGCCCGGAGTGGCAATTGGAGCCAGCAGCCACAGCTTACACCGCTAACGACACCAAGCATTAGGGCAGCACTGGGCACCGGCACTGGGTGGAAGTGGCAGCTCCAGTGCCAGCAGCGGGTGCTAGTGCTGTGCATGAGAGCTAAGAATTTTCAGTAGCCACCAGAGGCTTGCCCCAATGATAGCAACTGGTGTCCCACCTTGGTCTGGCACCCCTGCTTACCAGGGCTGCTGCCGTCCATGTTCCTCATGCTGCCGACGCCTGCTATGTTCTGCGCATGCCCCCTGGTGGTCAGTGCATGTCATAGCGACTGGTTGTTCGTTGGTTGTTCTGCCATTCGATCTATTTGCATATTAGTGTTTTATACTAGTATATATAGATACTTTGGAATGTGTGGGATGAACTTTGGTTTAATTTTCCAAATAATGAAAGAGTTTTCTTTTCTCAATTCTTAATTGGCTATAAATTTGTAATTATGATATGTCTAACTGGGTTAAGGTGCTAAGTGACTCAGACAGTTATTAAATATTCACCTGACATCATCAGAATGATGTACAATTAAAATAATCAGCTATGAGACAAGATATTATATATAATAATTTATAATAATATCTATAATAATAAAAGCATAATTAGCATAATGTAATATGCTAATTAGACCAGATGTCCTTCTGGATGAAGCCGAGGCTGTGAAGGAAGCCCAGATCCTGGGTGCCAGAGGGTAGCCAGTGCTGGCATCTGGAGGAAGGAAGGCCTACTCTTGCATGAATTTTGTGCATCGGGCCTCTAGTTTATATATAATTGCCTAGTACGATGGTCGGCAAACCATAGCACGCAAGCCACATGCGGCTCTTTGGCCCCTTGAGTATGGCTCTTCCACAAAATACCACAGCCTGGGCGAGTGTATTTTGAAGAAGTGGCATTAGAAGAAGTTTAAGTTTAAAAAATTTGATTCTCAAAAGAAATTTCAATCATTGTACTGTTGATATTTGGCTTTGTTGACTAATGAGTTTGCTGACCACTGGCCTAGTACAAAATCAGTAAGCAAGCAATATGCCTTCTAATTTGCCATATATATTTTTTCAGTAAATGTTCTCTTCTCTTCATATGTTAGTTCAGGGATTACAAACTATCTACCTGCTGACCAAATTTATCTCCTAAATATGTTTTGTTTCCTAGTACAGGCAGTGAACCAAATATAATTGTCAGATATTTCCTTTGATAATTCAAATATAAGTTATGGAGATAACTTAGCTCAAATCAGCAAGTTTGTAAAGATTGCATAATGATAATTTACATTAAAATGGCTTTAATGGTTTATATTTAGAACTTATTGACAAGAGAGGTAGCCTGGCACCCTGGGGATTCTTGTTTGCTTCAGAATAACCCAGGCTTCAATGGGCATTCAGAATTGTCATTCTGATTCCTTTTTAAAAATATATATATATATATATATTTGTATTGATTTCAGAGAGGAAGGTGAGAAGGAAAGAGAGAAACACGAAAGAGTCATTAATTGGCTGGCTGCATTCCCCACACTGGGGATCGAACACTCAACCCAGGCATGTGCCCTTACTAGGAATAGAACTGTGACCTGCTGGTTCATAGGTCCACATTCAACAAGCTGGGCGCATTCTGATTCTTTTTTAAACAATAGATGATGAACTGATTCTACTGGCCATGAATATTCTCAAATAAGTTCAGACCTCCTTTTGAACCCTATTTCTGTGGGAAAAAAGAAACTTAAATGGCTAAACTTTTAAGTTAATTGGTTGTTAATTTAGAGTATGGATCTGAATTATTAGAGGAAAGTTTTAAATTTGGTCAAAGTTGTTACCAAGATTATCACATAATTCACTCCCCACTAAAATAATGTTGGACTTCTGTACTGATTTATATTTCTTTCAGTTAGCTAAAGGGCAAGAAAATACTTTTTTCTTTTTTCTTACAGTTGAGAATTTAAGCTTAGTCACATTGCTAAAGCATTTATTTTAAGGATATTAAGTATAGAATACTTTCTAACATAACCTCTAATAAAGGGTTTTAAAAGAGGGCCTGGTTAGATTTAAAAAAAAAAAAAATATATATATATATATATATATATATATATATATATATATATATATATATTTTTTTTTTTTTTTTTTTTTTTTTTTTTGGTTTTTTCATAGAGAGGAAGGGAGAGGGAGAGTTAGAAACATCAGTGAGAGAGAAACATTGATCAGTTGCCTCCTGCACACCCCCCAATGGGACATGCCCACAACCAAGGTAATGTCCTTGACCTGAATGGAACTGGGACCCTTGAGTCCGCAGGCCGATTCTCTATCCATTGAGCCAAACCAGTTAGCGCAGATTTTTATTTTTTTTAAAAAATCCTCACCCGAGGATATTTTTCCATTGATTTTTAGAGAAAGTGAAAAGAGAAAGGAAAGACAGAGAGAAATATCAGATGTGAGATAATTGATTGGTTGCCTCCTGCACACACCCTGACCAGGCCTACAACCAAGGTATGTGCCTTAATCAAAACCAAATCTAGGAACCTTTGGTCCTCAGGCTAAGGCTCTATTCACTGAGCAAAACTGGCTAGAGCATAGATCTTAGTAGTAATTTTATTTCTCATGCATATTGTGATCAGTCTCAGTGAGTAAACATCTTGAGGGTTATTGTTAAGGTTCATGTTTTGAACACGGTAACCACAAGTTTAGCTAATATCTGTCTATTTCCCTATCCAAGCAAAAGTTCATTCTGAAGATAATTTTCTCTTAGAAAAAGCCTGGTCTCAGATAGTAAAGACAGAGGAATGGGCTTTTCCTTCTATCAGATCCTAAGAGAATGATCCTTCTAAAATTATAGGAGGATAGACCTGGAAAGTTACTGAATCTTGGGCAAACTATTCACTGCTGTACCCCTGTCTAGGTCTTACTCATCCAAGCCCAGACTCTGTATAAGAAGTTTGTGAAATCAACTGGCTTTTTGGGAAGTGAACAGTGGGCAGTGATTCACATTGTAGAGCAGCGAGTACGCTTCTACCCAGTGGCCTTCTTGTGCTGCTGGGGCCCAGGTGGGTATCTTACTAGAAAGAGCTGGGCAATGAAGAGGGCATTATGGGGTTTTGATCAAGCAAAGAGGTCTCACAAAGAAGAATTCCTTCAAATCCCTGTCCAGCTTGTAACATTTAAGTTGTTCCCACTCATATTTTCCAGTTTTTCCCAACCTTCTTAAATTCTTCTTATGTTTTGCAAGTTAAGATAATTAGACATCTGATGCAACTTAATGTGAGAGGAAATGTCCTGACAGAACTCAGAGATATTAATACCTGTCCTTCCTGCTACATAAAGTTGTAGTAAAGGTCAGATTGGATAATGTTTATAAAAGAGCTTGATAAACTTGAAAATGTTAAAAAGTGTGACTATCTTCCTGTAGTATGTCTTACCACCATTGCTACACTAATAATCTGTAAAGTTTAATCACTGAGGAGTAAAAATTGGAGACCCAAAGCCCCAGTGGTTTACATAACTGCTTAATCTTACTGTTGCTCTTCATTCTGCCTATAGTTTCCATTCTAACAATGCTTAGGCATGTATTATTGAAGAATTTTATGCTCAGGTAGCCAGTGCTGACAAGATTTATACTTTGTGTTTTCATAGCTGTCATTTTGATGATCATAAAGCTGATTGAGCCACAGGACACCAAGTTTCACATGGCCCTCTATGTACTTCAGGTAACACCTTCAACATCTAGCATTTCTGTTCTCATGCCCTCCTTTCCTATTATTTTATACTGCCGTAACTCTGTAAGCAAAATTTTTTTCTCATCAGGGTATTTCTACATTGCAAAAGAGAAAATATATTTAGTTATAAAGGATGTGAAATTTTCCTCACAGATATGGTAGATACTTTGTGAAAATGCTCCCATGCATTTCAGAGCATATTTATGGCTGGTCAACTTCATTTTATTGATGTGTGTTTAAGGGATAAGTAACAAAAAAACAAACAAATGTTCTTATGAAGCACTAATAATGACATGATTCTCTCCCATCCAGAGTGAATTGAATAGGATAAATGAGTTATTCTAGGTGAATGGAGAAGTAGTAAAGAAATGGGACAATTCTCTTTCTTCTTCCTTTATCAAATTTAAGAAGACTCTTGGGTTGACTAAGCTGATAGGGCAGTTTTCTCAATCCTGACCTGAAAATGGGGCAATAAGGAGGGGCATTGAAACCACTTTATTATCCTTATGTAAACACTAAAAAATATGACTAACTTTATCTCAACCATACATGACAAGGTACAGTGTAAAGAGCGAATTCAGGAGAGCTAGAAAAATATTAAAAACTGATGCTAGATCTTGAGGTATGGGTTAGAAGAAATATAACAATGCTTTATAAATAAAGGGAATGGGAACTATTTCCTGGATCTCTGAAAATCTGAAGGATGGGCTCCATCACCCCTTCATCTTCTCTAGGCTCTAACAGCATCATCCCAGGGTCTGCTCAACTGTGCAGTATATGGATGGACACAGTACAAGTTCTTTCAACTAAAGCAAGAATCTCGGCGTGATGCAGACACCCAGACACCATTATTATGCTCACAGAAGAGATTCTATAGCAGGGCCCCAGATCCATTTGACTCTACCCTTGCTTTTGCTACCAGCACCTCCACTACTTTTTGAAACTAGTACTGGGATATAGGAACTGCAGTCATTCCACACAAAAGGATTGGGAAAAGTGTTGGGGAACATCTTTAGTCTTTTATAACAATGCCTTATACTATGGAAATGAAAGGGAATATAGTGCCATGGTTTAGTAGCCATTCTAGGTAAATTGGGCAGGATCTTTTCATTAATTTCAGACTTACTAGTGATTCTTGAAGTCTTTGTTCAAGGAGATGAAGCCAGTTTCCATCTAAGAGAAGGACTTATTACCTTGGTGAATATTAGACTGGTCTAAGTCTTTTCTTGGAAAAAATTAATTATAGTTTATTAACGAAGATTCATGCTAGAATGGACTTTCCTTTCCCTGGCTGCCAGCATCGTTTTTCCACTCCAGCCCAGCTCCTTTCTGCTCAAGCCCCACTTTCCAATACTGCCCAGAGACCCTGAGAGGCCCCGGAAGTGGAACAGAATGCCTGTATCGTCGCTATGGTGACGACACAAGTATCTCATGCCCATCACTAGGTACCTGTGTATGCAAATTAACTGCCATCTTTGTTGGGTTAATTTGCATATCACTCATGATTGGCTGGTGGCATATCTGAGATACAGTCAATTTACATGTTTGTCTATTATTAGGTAAGATGCCACTTCCAGGCTCTCTATTCCATGGTTTCAAGTGAAGTAGGGCGGCAGGCAACAGTTTTCTCAGATGTCATTGCTATTTCTGTCTCTGAGGTTGGACAAAGGAAGTTTCTGTTCTTTAAAGAGGTTTGGAAACTCATAATAAGCAAGGACAACAACTATGAGAAAAGTGGCAGTGAGATCCTAAGATAGACCATAGTCTAATCTCATATGTTCAGTGCCATTCTAAGTCTTGACAATAAGAACCATCCTACTCCAGAAAATTAAAACCAGTCTTTTGAAGTTACAGGGGATAATAAGATTTAAGAGAAATCATGACTAGAGGAAACTTTAGGAATCAAAAACTCTAAACTGTCCTTTACAAACAGAAGTCCAAAGAAGGTTTAATAGTGCTGAAAATTGAATTAGGTTTAATCATTTGAACGTGCCATGTTTGTAGGTGAAAAGGTCTAATATCAATTTTATATGGTTCAACTTAACAGAGCTAAATATATTTATAGAATAAATGAATGAATGACTAGTAAGTAGAATTTGAATTTTTTTGGGGGGTGAAAATTACTACACTAGAGCCTCATTTATGGGTTGGAATGTCTAATCTGTTTCTTCTTGAATCACATAACAAGTAATGTTTGATCATTCTAGTTATGAACAAATCCAATCTGAGGCTTGTTCTATGATGCCAAAACAAAGGGGACAGTCAGGTGGACAAAACTGACTGGAATGATAAAATATCTGGAACTCATAATCATATAATTCTCACCTGATAAATTCCTTGATCTGTCCAATGCAAAATACTTAAAATTAAAGAAAATCGACACAGGAGGTTACAATGGGTGATTTTATAGGATACTCTGAAAAGGAAGTTCCAGAGAGTTTTCCAAAGGAGCTCTCCATAGGAATTTTAGGGAGCTCAATAATAGCTCTTTAGATTTTAGGCCATGAGTTTCAGCCTTACTATGGAGGTTAACATGGCCTTGTTCTGTTAATATTATATCTTAAGTCTTTTCATTGCCCCAAAGCTCTGGAGAGTTGATTTCTGGGTAGCACAGGACAAGATTGCCTCACCCAGGGAGCTACTTTACCTTTTTTTTTAAATTTAAAAACTAACAAGCATTTGGCATATAGAAAGACAAATGGAAGCAAGAAAGTATTCCCATCTCCATAGACCTTGAGGGACACAAGAACTAAAGAGTCAATTTTTAAAATATCCTTTTAGTATTACTTTATATTTGGATTTATTACCAGAAAGATGGTAATTACAAAATATTTGTCAGATTTGTTCATTTTGTTTTTGCAAGATGAATCTTTTGCATTGACACTAGTCTTAAATCTTCTATGGATATAGGCAAACAAAAAAAAATAGTGGAAATTAGAAATAATAAAAGGTTAAGAAAGACCTAGGTTAGGTTGATTTTGTTATACTGAGAATCAGAGGGGACACATGAAACTGGGCCACTATTTAAATTGTACCCCATAACCTTGGATTCACATGGAGGAGGTAGGTAGACATAGACACAGTGTCAATTCTTAAAATTGTTGCAAATACCCCTCCCATGACACTAGGTAAGGTTGCAATCATAGTGAAATCTAATGGTATCTTAGCAAGTTTGATTTATACAGATCTTCTGTGGACCACCTTCAGCAACTTCTCATTAGTCCTGTCTGTGGCTTAAAAAAACATCTCTGCATCCCAACACCATGTGACCTGTATGAGGAACCAAGTGTTGATGTTTTTCAATATGTGGGAACTTTTAGATGTTTTCACATAGCACCCTACCACATTTTATGTCACAATTGCTGAAGACCTTAAAAATCCCTTTAGATTCACTACCAAAGTTTCTAGACCTGTCCTGTCTCTCCTGGTATTCATGTGATGATAGCAACTTTCCCGAGCAACTTCTGTGCCCTTTCCAAAGATTTTAACACACTGATTCTCTAGGCTTTGCTATCAGCCTTGATAACAATAACCTTGTTATTTGCCAGGGGCACCATCTTGCTTGTAGGTATTTATCTGCACTATGTCTGTACCTTGCTTGTAGGTATTTGTCTATAATGGAGGCACCATTACAGTATTCTTGGAGATCTGAAGTGGCAAGGTGTAGTTGCCCTTAGAAGTCAGCAGTTCTTGCAGCAGGATCCAAATGTACATACTGAACCCTTCAACCAGCAAACAACAGTGATTTTTGGACAATCAAGGACACTACCATAATCACATTCTTCTCCCTCCACTCTTTTATTCCCATTATATGAGTTTCCAAAGGAGCTTTGGAACTAAGTTTTATGAAATAGGTACCGTAGTCCCATCTGTGCTTATGTAACAGCTTGTGGAAATAGTGGAAGCTGCAGTTGCCGAGGCCCATATTTACAGTAGTAAGTTTATGTATAATTCAGAGGCTGGCCATGACATCTGCAGGACACATGGTCATGCTTCATTCTCAAGTTGTGGCCATACTCATGAGCTATGACAGTTGCGTAATGTGGCATATCTTCTAGAGAAATATTCTAAATAGTGCAGATATCACTGAGAAATGAATGGTCCTGGTACTTCCCAAGACTTTGACCAATAATCATAATTATGCTTCACCCTTCTCAAAATATGCTAGTCTCTCCAGAAGTGAAACATTTAAAGTACTCCCTACACAGGGAGGTGTTCATTAGGTTTCTCTCTGTCCATATGTCTAGTCTAGTAAATATTGCTTTCACTTTTAGCTCCTTCGTGTACCTGTTGACCAGGGCATGGGCATCCATGATATCATATTGTCTTGGTGACACTATTCTTTGGAATTGCTTATTGTCGACAACAATAACACTTTAACATACTTGGGAAATGTCCACATTTGGGCATAGTATCTGAAGATGGTCCTATTCTGCTCTGAAATTGTGAAATGGTTAAGAGTTCATCCTTTTTATCTTCACAAGACCTGATTTTAAAGATAGGCTATAAATGATAAGCTCAAAAGTTTTTGTAGTCTTGATGCGAAAGAATACCATGTAAAGTCAAGATTCTCTTTAGCCCTGAGCAAGTGCCAAGAGTCGCAAGAGAATCCAGATCACCTCTGAATACCCATCCTGAATAAAAGGCATGCCCATACCCAGTTTTCTATTTTTAAGTGTATAACTAGGGAAGTTCTTGACAAATAAGATTTTCTTTTGATTCAAATTAATAATACTCCATTTTCCTTGTATCAGCAGATAGGTCATAGGCCACATCTTCTGTTTTTTCTTCCAATTGTCTCAACATTGTTAGATTCCTGAGGATGAGTATCTCCTAATAAACATGCATCCATTGAAGTATAGTTACTACTAGCTATAAGATGACATGTAGTTTAATATGGGAAGAACCCATTCTCAAGCATCCTACCTGGGAAGTTCTGGGGGGAAAAAATCACTTCAAATCTTATCCCTGACCAGTTGATATCATAGAAGAAAGGGCAGGGAAGGAGGCAAAGTAAATAATTGGGATTGTCATTGTCATGGCCCAACTGAAATAGCTAGTGATCTCAGACCTCTGTCTCTCATTTGCATTCCCTGGAACCCAAATCTGTCTGAGACAGTCATTTGGCTGGATCTCAAAGCTATGCCAGTTTGGACAGTGTTATATTTCTCCCCCAAAATTGGAAGGCAGTGCATACTAAAAGGACAGTTGCTCTTATTCCTGAATATTATATGATGACAACTGCTGTTTGACTGTGTCTCTTCCTGTTCCTGTTGTGCTCTTTCTTTAGGAGTGTCCTTACTTTGCAATCTCCCTCAAAGAACAAGTTTTAGTGATCCTTAGCTGTGCTCCTGCTATCTTTTATAAAGGGGGTATACCAAGGAGAAGAAAATTTCAGAAGTCCAACCAGTACAGTGACCCAGAATCTAGCTCCTAGAAAAGAAAAAAACTACATAACCACTTTTTCCTCAGTCCCTGTTTTCCTGGAATAGCCTTCTCCTGTCATCTATTACTTTTTTGAGTCATTGAAGCTAAAGGTTCCAGAGCAGGGGTTTGTGGATCTTTGGTTAGGTCACAGACCTCTGCCTTTTGCACCATTTCCTACTCTGTACAATATAGCCCATTTCAAATCTCTGATCCTTTTCTCTTTTTCCTCTATTTTTCACAATATATATACTTATTTGCTCAATCCTAGAATATATGTAAATTTTTAGAATAACCCTGCCTCTGTAAAAAGCAAATATATGAACTAGAGAACCATGTTTGCGTTGAGTTATTTTTATATTTAGCCTTCCAGTATGAGGTCAAAATAATGTTCTTCAAAATTATTTAGGTTAATACTTTTCCATCTAGACCTATTCAGTGTGGTTATATTATTCATTTTTATTATAGTATGGCTCATATATTACTGCTTGTATTTCCTTTTGGTTTATAAAATGTAACTATGATTCTAAAAGTTAGCACTATAGAAAAAAATGTACTCCAAGTATACCTCCTTTAGTCTTTAACCTGTTCCCATGTCCTCATTCTTTCCATCCAGATTCTACTCACCAATCTCAATAGTATTTAGTTGTTTTTTTAAAAATTTCTTTCTGCAAATTAGCAGATATATGTATACTTTCTTTTATCCCTTCTCATGTAAAAGTAGCGTGACATTTTACACTTTCCTTTTTAAACTTACATTATTAATCTTATAAATCACTCCATAAAAGTTTATAGAGATCTTTCTCATTCTTCTTTACAGCTGCATAGTACTCCATTTTATAGATATTCCTTAATTTTTTCAATCATTCTCTTGTGTGTATCCTTTTAGTTGTTTACATTGTTTTGAAACTACACACATGCATTAATAATCCTAGAAAGGGGAAGGCAGTGCTAACTGCTTTTGTAACTTTGTTTGATATTGCCAATCCTCTTTCAGAAGGGTTTTGCCAGTTTGCATTCCCACTAGCAATGTATTAATATCTGTTCCTACAGTCTAAGAAACAAAATATTTTAATTTTCACCAAACTGATAGGTGACAAATGGCATTTTAGTGTTAATTTGTATTTTCTAGTTTGAATGATTTTGAACATGTTTTAATATGTTTAAGGACCATTTTTATATTTTTAGTTTGGGTCAAATAGGAGTTTAGTATTTATTATCTGACTAGAGGCCCTGTGCACGAATTTGTGCATAGATGGAGTCTGGCTGGCCTGCCCCGATTGGTCTGATTGGGCTGGGCCGGCCAGGCAGAGGGGCCACGGGTAGTTGGCCGGCTGGCCCCACCCCTTGGTCAAACTCCTGGTCGAACTCCCCATTGAGGGGACAATTTGCATATTAGCCTTTTATTATATAGGAAAGTGATTTTAGTTTGTTTTCCTGTAACAATTGATTGGGGAAAGAGTGTTTTCAGGGAGGAAAAATTGATACACAAGGCTCCTGGAATTGGACAGAAAGTTTATGAATGGAGCTCTTCCTTTTGGTTTTTCTACCAGTAAGCTTCTAACACATGAACATTTCTATATTTTTAAATAATTGTCTGTTCATGTTTTTTCTTCTTTTTCTATCAAACTTTTGGCATTTTCTTTCCTCAGCTTCCCCTTCCCTCAGCTTCTTTGGGGAATAATTCACAAATAAAATATATGTATTAAAGTGTACAACCTGATATTTGTTATATAGGTATATTGTGAAATATTTATTGTGAATATAAATTTTCCAGAAGGCAAGGAAATACAATAGTTGAAATAATTTTGGAAAATAATAACATCAGAAGAACTACTCTACTCAATTTTAAGGCTGTGGTATTGATGATGAGACACATAGATCAATGAAACAGAATAGAGAACCCAGAAATAGAATGCATACATGTATGGCCAATGGCTTTTTTACAAAAGGGCAAAAATTTGGGTGAAGAAAGGACAGTCTTCAATCAATGGTACTAGAAAGTTTGGTATATATAGTAAAAAAAAAAAAAAAAAAAAAAAAAAAAAAGAACTTCAGCCTAAACTCCACACTTTATACAAACATCACCTCAAAATAGATTGTAAATTTAATTATAAAATATAATATAAAACTATGAAACTTTTTAGAAGAAAACAATGTTTTTAGGAGCTAAGGCTTGGTAAAGAATTCTTAAACATGACACCAAAAACATGATTCATAAAAGAAAACTTCATAAATTGGATTGCAGCAAAAGTAAAAATCCTTGCTTTGTGAGTGACTTTGTTAAAAGGATGAGAAGATAAGCTATGGAGGGGGAGAAAATATTTGTAAACAACTTATCTAATTTAAAAAAATACTTAGAATATATAAAGAACTCTACCTCTCACCAATATCAAAGCAAATAATTTAATTAGAAAATGGCCCAAGACAAAGACGAAGAGTTCAAATGAAATGTTAAAAAGCAAAAGTAGTAAAATATGTACTATGTTAAGTAAATAGAACCTTAATTACTAAAATGAATAATGAAAATGAGAGTATCCCCCTTCTCATATTAGTTTATTTTCAAACTAAAGAAAAAATTTTAGTTTCAGCTTCTATACTGTTTAAAATGAGTATAAATTTTGTTTATACTCTTATATAATCCTAGCAAGAGCCATGGAGATATCAATTCTCACTTCACCTTTGTGTCATTGAACTTCTGGTTCCTGGTAACTGTTTGAAGCGTTTTATATATTTGGTTTCTTCCTCTCACTACTTGTTTTATCCCTCATCATCTTCCTCCTCCTCCCCTTCTCCCTCTTCTTCTGGGGCAGCCTTTTCTGGAGGCATCTCCTCTGGAGGCTTTCCTTCTGGAGGTTTCTCTTCTGGAGGCTTCTTTTCTCCAGGCTTTTCTTTGAAAACTAGACAAAGGACGCACGTGGTAATACTGGCAGCTGCTAATATTATGAGAAAAAGTATTACGAATGATAAAGTAATAGTGTCTAAGATACTTTCAGGTTTTTCTGTTTGGGTAGTGGTATCAACTCCACCCGCTGTTGGCTTTTCATCAGGTAGCTTATCAGGGGGACCACTGTTCAAACTACCCCCTTCTCCCATTTTTCTGCAGTCAGGGGGTGCATAGCCAGTCTTACAATGGCAGTGCTTCAAATTATTGCAAACTCCTTTCTCATTACACATTGCTTTTACATTGCAGTCATACTTGAGCACAGCATAATCAGTGCAGGATGCATTTGCGCAGACTTTGCCTTGGGAACAAGCCGTGCCATAGTTCACATTTCCGTTTTCTTCTTCATCAGCAGGGTCATAGTGATTCATGGCCCAGCAGTAGTTTTCAGAAATAGGAATCTGGATCGCTGTATGAAAGGGTTTGATTTTTGGCATATTTCTAATATCTGTACATAAAATTTTCCCACACCGCATATTGTCTTTTGTACACTTAACATAGTCTTGGTTAGTAGCAGTAGGAAGGCCACAGTTTCCAAACCGGTCTCCAACCCTGTTTACCATTTCATAACACTCATCTCCAGCAGATTTTGAAGAGGTCCCAAAATATTCTTTGCATTGGGTATTAGGGTTCTTACACACACCTTTTACACAGTAATATTCATTACATGGTGTACCATCTTGCATATAGAAGTCTTCAGGACATTTTGCATTGGTACCATCACAATACTCTGGGAGGTCACACTCTCCATCAGCAGCACGACAAACGAAGCCCTTTGGTTGAAATTCACACTTATCATTACAACAAGGTCCTGTACTACACTTTGAACCAGCCTTCAGCAAACATTTATCATCACAGCAATTGTTTGTGTTACATTCAGTACCACAGTCACACTCCTCACCGTCATCCAACATACCATCTCCACACGTGGCTCTACGGAAGCGGCCTTTGTGCCGCTGAGGGTTGTTAAATAGGCAGGCCCCTCTGTGATCCTGGAGGAACTGGTAGAAGTCATCAGAGCTACAGTTGCTGAAGCCGCTTTCTTTAGCGATATTGTCACGCATGAGGCAGAGGTGCTTGTCTTTACAAATGCAGGCTGAGTGGTCGTGCCCAATACCCAAGTTGTGCCCAAGCTCATGGACCATGAGCGCTGCAAACAGGAGGGCATCTTCATGAGGGAAGGATTCAACAGCTGCTGCAAAACCACGGGAACAGGCACCACTGAGAAATGCCTGTCCCATACCGTGCTCAGGATGCTGTCCGACAATCATGTGGGCAACATCATGCTTCACACGATGGAGGAGCTTCTCTTGTCTCCACTTGTTGAAATTTCCAAGTGTAACTTGCAAGTCCACAGGGACCTCTATGAGGTCCCCCTCGGTCCAAATCTCCATCCCAGCCAGCACCACCTGTGTGTTTATCCCCCTAGTGAAGCTGTTGGCCAGGGCAATGATGTCCATCACTCTCTGGACCGTCTCATTGACGTTACTGCCCCACATTTGGAACCGCTGGTTGTTGACCACAACAAACATCTCCACGTACTTGGTGAGTGACCACAAGGAGGACAGCTCCTGTAGACTGCCAGGCTTCCTGCTCCCTTGTTGTCGGCTGGTGGACACCACTGGGCTGTCTTGGGAAGTGACACTGCAGGAGACTGGAGCTTGATGGGCCATGGTGTACAACACATGTTCAAACTGTTTTGAAGAGTCCATGGGCTCAATGCCATAGGATTTTCCCTCCTTAATCAGGATGCCCCTGAGGCCTGAACAGGTGTTGACAGAAACAAAAGAACCCGGGACTCCTTCTATGTAGCCTTCATAGTGACAGTCATGTGAGATGAAAGGCATTTCTTGTCCCCGAATGCCATTGTGGTAGCTGAAGACTGGAAAGTTCTTGATAAAATAGTCAGTCTTCACTTTCAGGTGAATCAGCTGTTTCTCGCCCTGCATAGATACCACATAAGATGCCTCTTCCTCTGGGTCTTGCCTTCCCTCAACTGTCAGAGCCTTGGGGATGACTATTTCATAGGATGAGGAATATACTGACCCCAGGTCACAGCACAAGCTTGGCAGGAAACTCAGAATCAACACCAGCACAATCCCCAACCTGACACGTGAACATCCTGGCACCAGTACCAGCGCCAGGCCCTTTGTCTGGGGATCCCAAGTCTGAAGCACTCTGCTTGTCTCATACATAACCTCTTGGTTCTGTAGAGAAGGCAAGGAGGAGGCAGAGTGTCTCACAAAGGTGGGCACTGACATGGCCCCAGTGAGTCAGTGGCTGATGCAAGGCCTGTGTCCATGAGCAGCAGCACTCCCTGACATGCAAATCCTTAGCCACTGGGATTAATTCCAAGTATATGCTGGCTACATAAAGGGTGGGTACTATCACCTTCTGAGAGCAACTGCCTACCTCTGGCTGTGTCTTTTTTAATCTCTCTGACTTCTCTGATATCCTTCAGATAGTGTCTCTTCTGCAGCTTCCTTCCACATTATTAGCTGCAGTGATCCTTGGCTACAGTCCTTTGATATTCTGGTGATGTAATCACAAAGTAGGACTACAAACTCTAAAATACAAGATTTTTACCTTGAGAAGGAAATAAAAACCTCTGTGCCTTCCTCAACTGTGCCACACGGAACAGACCCTGCCCCTCCCCTCTTGTGTCCGTTGCTCAGCCAACTCCTAATGTTCCAGACCGGGGGGCTTGAAGATCAGTGGTGGGAACACTCGATGGCCCATTTCACCATGTCTAAAACTCTTCTGTAACACATGGACATCAAACTCACAATGTTTTTGATCCTTCAGTGAGGCTTTCTAGTGATATGCACATGCCTCAGGCCAGACTGTTAGATAGACAAGGAAGTGGCTGCCCTTTACCCCAGGGTAGACCCAAATGGACTGGAGACCATGAGGCAAGGGACAATACTCCAAATTTTTTTAACCTCATCAAAATTCAGTCTCAAGTTCTGTTTATAACGCTGCCAAAAATGTGTATGGGAGATGCTGACAGAGCAGCCTTCACTTTTGTGTGATATTCATGGGCATATTGACTGGTATCTCCAGGCCCTTCTCTGGATGACCCAGACATATTGGTACCATAAAATTATGCCAGTTGAAGTCTAGGTATACTCTTTGTTTGAAAGTGACCTACATGTGTCCAGTGTCCACTTCTGTTAATCTTTATATGCCCAGGTTAAAAAGTAGATGAACTAGAATTATAATACTTATTGAATGAATAAATGATTCCCAAGTAAGGGTGCTGTCATGTAGTTATTTGTTTGTGCTCTCTTCACACCTGCCCTGAGAGAATGAATGTAGGTGAGCTTTGACCTGTCAGAGAGCTGGTCCCCGTCCGCAGTGGGGATGGCAGTGGTAGGGCGGCGCTTGTCCTGGAAGCAAAGGTGCCTGGTAATTTGAAATCGGATGTCCGTGGTCTGGGAAATAGTAAGGACTGTGAGACTTTCCTTGGTAATTGGACAAAGTGTGCTTGGTTGGAGGTTCAAACACCAGGGTGGGTGTTTCTAGCTTTCACTTGTAGTAGGAAGTGCATGGATCCTCTTAATCCTTCCCAGTTGTAAAAATAGGACTCCTTAAAATCTTCTAATGAAGGGAACGAATAAAAGCCAAGAAACCTAAGAGGACAACCTGGAAGTTTGGTTTGGACCTTACTTATCCAGTAGAAGATGGCATTTTTGACGCTGCAAATTTTGGTACCTTCCCTAGTGGCTCATATTTTATTGAGAAAAATAAAAGCAATAAAGAGTACTTTCACTTGGAGACACCACTTGAGTTGCTTGCATCTAAGTTTTTCTCCAACTCTGGTGGATAAATTGTCCATACAGTTTCTACGGGAGAAGGTTAAAGTCAATGGGAAGACTGGAAATCTTGGGAATGTTGTTCACATTGAATGCTTCAAGAATAAAATCACAGTTGTTTCTGAGAAACAATTCTCTAAAGGATATTTGAAATACCTTACCAAGAAATACCTCAAGAAGAATACTCTTCATGATTGGCTTCCTTGTGGTTGCATCTGACAAGGAGACGTATGAACTTCGTTACTTCCAGATTAGTCAAGATGAAGATGGGTCTAAATCTGAGGACTAGGTAAAGGCACCTTATATAGGCCTTTGCTTACTAATAAAACATATGAAGTGTACCAAGAGAAACATCTAGAAATGGATTTTTAGTTTATCAGTGAATAAAAAAATGTAACACTCTGTTAAAAAAAAAAAAGAAAGAAAGAAAGAAAGAAAGAAAGAAAGAAAGAAAGAAAGAAAGAAAGAAAGAATCTATAGAAAAACCCAAAACACATTCATGACCTCAAAATGTATCTCTCTCTTCCTACATTTTGCTGGTCAGTTCACTTTCCTAATGTCTTTGTGCCTCATATTTTATTGAGAAAAATAAAAGCAATGAAGAGTGCTTTTACTTGGAGACACCACTTGAGTTGCTTGCATCTAAGTTTTTCTCCAACTCTGGTGGATAAATTGCCCATACTCCAATCTAAGGCTAATCTTCCTACTTGTATGTAGGGTCTATCATACTTCCCTTTCAATTTCTCATGACTTCACTTCTCCAGTTATCCCTTCTGTCTTTCATTTCTGGAACATCTGTTTTTCCATTGGATCCAGTCTCATTATATGAGGTAATGTTTCATCTTTATCAAACGACCACTCACAGCCCACATTACTCTCCAGTTACCATTCAAAATCTCTCTGTTTCATATATAATGAAACTCTTTGGAAATATATTTTGTATATATATTTCATTTATACTTATTTATTTTTCTGAAATTTAATCTTTGAATTATATCACAGTCACAAAATATGAATAAAACATAAATATATTTTTCAGTAGATTATTTAGAAGACAACTCAATCACACACAAAAGGACCTATGTGATGACTTAATTTCTATGAGGTTCCTCAAGTAGTCAAGTACATAGATTCAGAAAGTGAAGTGAAGGTTATAAGAGCTGGGGGAATAGTAGTAATAAGACTGGCTAATGAAGATAGTTTCAGTTTGAGATGATGAAAAAGTTCTGGAAGTGGATGTTGATGGTTGCACTACAATATAAATGTACTTAATTCCACTGAACTATACACTTAGAAATAGTAAAGAGGGTTAATTTTATATTATGAATATTTGAGAGAGAGAGAGAGAGAGAGAGAGAGCGAGTGCTGTTTAAGTACAACTCTGATCATGTAACGAACAGTTTTTAACTTCATTGAAGTTACCCATGTGCTATTGCCAATTACAAGTCTTCCTGCTTTAGCGATAATTATGACCCTTTCTTTTATGATATCTGCTTTTTCACTTTTTTTTCTCAATTTGCTTCTTAAACATGCACTGCAGAATTTTGTAATTTTATTTTATTTGCTTTTTAATCACATCTTTATTGAGATATACAATGAGTGGCCAGATTATTATGATCTCTGAATGCGTAATTGGCCACTCAGTGTATATCCTATATAATAAGACTAATATGAAAATTGTCCCCTCTACCAGTAATTCGACCAGCAGGCAGGCCGGCCAACTGCCCATGTCCCCTCCCCCTAGCCAGGGTGGCTGGACCCCATCCATGCACGAATTACACACACACACACACACACACACACACACACACACACACACTGAGTGGCCAGATTATTATGCATTCAGAGAACATAATAATCTGGCCACTCAGTGCAATTCAAATACCTTAAAATTTATCCTTAAATGTGTACATGTCGGTGGTTTGTACTGTATTCAGAAAGTTATGTCTTTCATCAAATCAATTTTAGAACATTTTCTCACCTCCAAGGAAAACTCTAGTATCTATTAGCAGTCACTCCCTATCCTCCCCTCCCCACAGCTCATGGCTACCACTACTCTACTCTCTAGCTCAATGATTTTGTTTATTTTGGACACTTCATAGTACTGGAATGCTATATGTGGTAATTTTCTATGACTGGCTTATTTCACCTAGCATAACGTTTCCAAGAATCAGCCATGTGGTAGATTATGTCAAAGATTCCCTTTTTTTGGCCAAATAATGTTATTTTTGTATGCATATACCACATTTTTTATTAGATATATCAGCTGATAAAAATTTTGGTTGTTTCTATTTTGGGACTATTGTGAATAATATTGCAATGGACATTTGAGTACAAGTTTTTGCATGGACATATATTTGCATTTCTCTTAGGTACATACTTAGGAGTGGAATTGTTTAGTCATGTGAGAACTCTATGTTTATCCTCTTGAGTAATTGCCCAACTATTTCCAAAGAAGCTGCACAATTTCACATTTCTGCCAGCAGTGAGGAAGGATTCTAATTTCTCCTCATCATCACTGATATTCGTTAGCCTATTTTTTAAATTATAGCCATTCTAGTGTACTTGAAGTGGTATCTCATTGTAGTTTTGATCTGCAATTCCCTAATGTGACATACTTTCATATTCTTTTTGGTCATTTATATATTCTTTGTAGAAATGTCTATATACATCCTTTGCCCTTAGAAAACTGGGCGTCTTTTTCTTGTTCATTTTAAGATTCATTAATATTTTCTGGCTACTAGTTCCTATAAAATATGAGTTGCAAATATTTTTTTCTCATTCTGTGGGCTATGTTTTCACTTTCTTGACAGTGTCTCTTACAGTGGAGAAGTATTTCACTTATTAAAAAACTCCTCACTTGACATTATGTTTTTATTGATTTGAGAGAGAGAGAAAAGACAGGAGGAAACATGAATGTCAGAGAAAAACATCAATCTTTTGCCTCCCATATGTGCCCCAATCAGGTATCAAACTTGCAACCTGGATATGTTCTCTGACTGGGAATCAAACCCGGAACCTTTTTGGTATAAGGGATGATGTTTCAACAAATTGCATAACCTGGCCAGAGCAAGAAGTATTTCATTTTTTCTTCCAATTTACTTTATTGTATTAAATAAATTTATATAAGATACAAAAGTTATATCTCATCTATTTTTAAGTCTACCCTTAATGAGCAGTATTAAGTACATAATGTTGTGCTACCGTCACCAGTAGTCATCTTCAGACTCTTCTTATAAAACTCAAACTCTGTATTCATTAATCTATAAATCCCTGTTGCATCCTTCTCCCCTGCCCTAGCAGCTGCCATTGTACATCTGTCTCTATAATTTTGACTACTCTGAGTACCTCATACAGTGGCATCATATAGTATCGGTCTTTCTATGACTGGCTGATTTCACTTAGCACAGTGTCCTCAAGGTTCATTCATGTTGTTGCATATTGCA